AAACAAAGCAACTAAGTAAAGGTATTCTTAAAGACTTTATTGACCACAAGTTTCTACCAGTGCAGCATGAAAACGAAATAATTGAAAAATTAAAATATTTGTCTTTATAACTAAAGCAGGTATAAAACATATATGTCTGCAAGTCACACCACACCGTTCTGTAATACAGTTTATATCACATTTTGTTATTTAATAACATTGAGAAAAACAAAATATCTAAGAAAATTTAAAGATTTTATCTAATTAGCTTAATGGGTTTATTCCTTACTTTTAGGCCTGGCATTGCCAGGTGGTCAGGGCGCTCGACTCGAATCCTCGTCCCATCAAACATGCTCGCCTTTTCAGCCGTGGGTGAGTTATAATATGACAGTCAATCCCACTATTCATTAGTAAAAGAGTAGCCCAAGAGTTGGCGGTGGGTTGTGATGACTAGCTGCCTTCTCTCTAGTCTTTCACTGCTAAATTGAGAACGATTAGCGCAGATAGCCCTCGTGTAGCTTTGCGCGAAATTCAAAACAAACCAAATTTATGAAAGCTAACACGATTTTAAGCCACACGCCAAGAAGTTTGCTCACTCCCTCTGTACCTCAGCAGTAAGTCTACAGACTCACGACACAAAAATCGGGTTGCGATACCCGTGGTGGGGAAAGCATAGATAGCCCATTATGTAGCTTTGCGCTTAACTACAACCAAACGAAACCAGTGTGCTCATTCAAAATGCCCCCTAATAGTTCAAGGGTAAGTTAGAAAGCTGCGAACGACAAACTTCGGTTCTCGATCCCTACTATGTTGTCCATTGTGTAACTTTACGCTTAAAACTAAACAAGTATTTTTGGGTTCTGTATATTTCTGCCCATTTATAAAAACGCATTATGTATGTGCACTGTTGATAAAAATGATCCCTTAAAAGATATGATGGCGACATTATTGTTTTAAGGGCTTATATTACGGTTATAAAAATTCTGTTATCTCTTCATTCCTATGGCGATTTATTCTCCTTTACACTATTCAGCATTTATGGCTATCGTAGATAATATATTCTCAATGACAAAACAGCGTGATGATTTTGAAGATATTTATAGTCACAGTTTCACCCTATTGATTATCAAGTGTTCTGTATAAAGACAGCAAAGCTTATTGTAATATTTCCTACTCTTGTGAGCCTAGCGTGGCCTAATGGTTAGACAGTGAATCTGGATGTTTATGTTTTGCTGCCATTTCCAAAAACCTTTTTGGGGCTGTTAATGTGCTATGAAAATGGCAGTGAAGTCCTAATATTCGTTCAGACAAGAATACTCCTACAGTTGTCAGTGGGTGCTTTTCACTACCTAGTCCAGGGGTCACC